CCACATGAGATTAACTCTCTAATCCTAACGTCATGTTGTTCTAAACATATGTTTTACCAAACATAAAATAAAAAGGTCTTTATGTGTCCACTAATGCCTCATTGCCCTTATGCAAATGAAACAGGCTAAACATAACAAAGCATTATATTAATGATACTTCATTGGAAAACTGCAAACAAACTTATTTGGTAAAATCCATATCGTAACTGCACAGATCTGATCATAGGTAAAAACTGAAAAAGTGAAACTGTTATTTCTTACCTTACCCTATTCCTCTGTGGTCTATAAATCACTAAACTTTACATTTCTAAATGCTTTGCATTTCAAGAGAGAAAGTCCCGGAATTACAAGGCCACCCTAAAGGTTTACACTTGAGATAAGTTACAAAAAAGAGAAACATCATGTTTGTTTGTTTTTAAATAAAAGACAGAAATGTGTTTTTTTAAATCATAGCCATTTGAACTGTATGTAATCATATTTACCACATAATAACTGTAAGTATCACCATCTCTATACATATTTTGCAAATCAATTAGTTCTTCTGAAAGCTAATCTTCTTTACATTGTTGCTTTATTGCAAGTAAAAATTTAGCTCAAAGTTCAGATCAAAATTGACAAAAATAATATATTAATAATCTTGGCTAATAATGATAATAAAATAAGTTTATTATATGTGTGATGACTTTCAACTTGTCTTAACTCAATGGGAGACAGGTGCACTTACAAAGACCTATAATTTCGCCAGAGTCAATACTGAAAAAGCACTTATGCATTGCTGGCAAAACATTTAGTTCCCTACTAAATTAAATATAATCCTTCTAACTTTTTTCTGAAGAACTCTGACTGATGAGTAGGCTGTCCCCTGCACTCACAAGGAATTGCTCCTGAAGGCACAGAATCCCCAAGTCTGCATAAAGACAGTGGAGAACCAGAAGGGAGAGGAGCAAGGAGGAGTCCCCTATTTTCTTCAGTGAGCCCGTGGTTTCCTTTTCAATCTCCTCCTTTCTTCCTTCAGTCAGATAGGGAAGAAGGAGGAATGAGTTTAACCCACTGGAGTGAGTTTAATTGCTGGACCAGAGACAAGGTAGCCTTAGTCAAACCAATTTGCTAGACTTGTTATACCTGACTGAACTCTGACTGGTACACAAAATGGTATCGGGAGTGGGATCCCCCAAAGCATACGTTGGAGGGCTTTTGTATTGCTTTGATTTGATCCTTGATGCAGTAGCATCACCATTAATCAAATAAATGCTGGTTGCTGGTTATATGAGTTGTCTGCTGAAAAAGTTAATGACTTAAGAAACCAAAGGCCCGCCACATCTGAGTTTGGCAGAAATAAGCACGCAGACTGTGGTATGGCAGGGCTGCTTCTGAGTGCATGGGAGCACTTACCAAAGGAAAATGGTAAGCTCAGGCATCTAAACTTTCAGCTCACGTTTATGATCAGAGAAACAGAGAATTTCTATGGTAGCCCTAATAAAAATTTTTATGTCTAATAGCTACAGGGCTCACCTCGCTAACATCAGATTTAACTGTGCCCATTGCAGAACGACAATGTAAGCTGAATTCCACAGTCTCACCCTGTTTCGGGCAGGAACGTGAAAGTGTGGAATGAGAAAGAGTGAGACCTGGGAACTCAGGACAGGGATCTTTGGGTGGGCTCAGCTGAAGCTGAGAATCCCGACCCCGCAACCTCCTCTGGGCCTCCCTTGCCAGTGGAAATAGAAATAGCCTGCTCTCCTGTGCCTAAAGAGGTTAGCTCTCCCTGGCTTCAGGTCCTGTAATAACCTCACCATAACCCCAACGGTGGTTTTCTTGCAAGAGAATGCCACTTCTTCTCAAGGCCCACCTGCACCATGCCTTACTGTCACCCAGAACACGGTTGTATCACAGAATCTGCCAGGAAAAATTAAAAGTCAGGTCCACAAAAATGAAAAAAAAAACCATACACATAAAAGTAATTGCAAAATGCTGCTATTTCGTATGGGTAGAAACCTGGGACATCTGTGTGAGAATGGACTCTAAGAGTGTTAGACCAAGGAAAACAACATAACACCAGACTGGGCCACTGTTTTTATGAGTCACATACAGAGATTTAGGATTTAACAGTTAGCTTCCATAACTGGAAGGGACTCGATGAGTTAACTTGGTTGGCTGACTAAAACTTGGACCCAAGAAGAGCCTACATTTAATACAGCTGAGAGGTCAGAACCTGCCTGGCATAATGTAGAGGCAGGGATCTATGTGTTTAAGGAAGAGGAAATGTCGGCGTGGGTACATCACCACTGTACTCCAGAGGGCCTAGTGGACACTTCCCACACCAAGGCTCCAGCTTCATAGCTAGAGTACAGTTGTATGGGCAAGAGGTGTTAGCCTGGCCCTTTAATACCCTGCCAGTCATAAAATCTGTCACGTTGCTACAAAATAAGAACCTCTCTACTTTCTCTCTCTAGCTCCTTCTTTGCTTCAGGGCACTTACTACAAATGGCAATTATTTATGTGCCTGCTTCTTTGGTTTTGGACCTATTTGTTTGCTCGGTCTCCTCCACGGGCATACGTCCTCCACAAGACAAGGACTGCATCGACCTCGTTCAGCACTGTACCCTGACTGCCCAGCACAGTCCCTGGTACGCAGGCATTCACTACAGCTGTGTTGAGTACATGAACAGAGTTAGTCTGTCCTTGTCAACATTCAGTTCTGGTCCTTTCTTCTCCTGGAAGAGATATGTTCAGGAAAACATTATCCTCCCAAAGAGATGACTTACACATGAGTTGAAAACTTGAACAAGTTTATAAATCTCCTCAGTGTATTTCCTCAGCTTAGAGCGAATGACCTGGTCTGCTGATATCACCTCTTCCATTAAATACACAGTATTCACAGAAAAAATATTTTTCAAAATTTTCAAAAAGGAGGAGAAAACTTTCCTTATAATAAAGGTCAATTCAGTGCCTTTACCATCTGTTCTCTCATGAAAATGTTTGAACAGGATCCTGTCTTACCCCAGAACTGCAGTTCTGCCCACAGTCACATGTCACCTCCTATCGTAAGTTAACCAAATTCTCAAGTATTATTAAAGTATATCTTCTGACTCGTTAGGCAATTTTTATACAGCCTGGAGCACTAGTTGAAAGAGCGGCATGAGGTAGCTTTTCTTGTTTCTGTATCAAGCAGATGGTGAATTCATTCATATCCTAGCATTTCAAAACACAATGTTTTATTTAACCAAAAGCTTCTATTTTCTGCACATGAACCTTACTTTTGGCAACTAGTAGATGCTTTCATTAACAGCCAATTTTACACACGCATACGTACAATACACTTTGTCGCTGTAAGGCTTATACACGCGACTACAAGTAATTAAGAAAGAAACAGTACTAAGATCCAGGTAGTGTGCTCAGTTCACCTGCTATCTGAGTAACTACACCTCAGGCTCATTAGTGTCACAGCTTAATTCAAATTCACACCTCAGCAAAACTGCAAAACACTGTTGTCTTGGACCTTCAGGGCGGCATTTACATATTCGAACCGTGAAAGTTAAAATCCTTAAATGCCAAAGATTTCTTGTGTATCTGTATACCACAAGCTCACCTTTGTAAAGATCTGTGCTCTTAGCAGGGTTAAAAATAATTTAAAAAACTTAATATTAGAAATCCATAAAGATCATTTTCACATAAAAATTAAGCGCATCTATGTACAATCTGTCCAGTAGGATGAGCTATGGTCTGGAAAGAAATAACAAAAATATATACCTTACAAGGATGCTTGAAGCATCAAAGGCAATAATAAACATGAAGAAATAAATAAATAAGAATGCACTATATGAATGTTAGTAGTGGGTGGTAGTATTAATAAAAATATAATACACTGTATACCTTAAATTTACATAACTTGATAGTCAAATATGTCTCAATAAATGTGGGAGGAAATAATAATAAAATACAGTAGAAATGCCCTCTTAAAGAATGGGGGGAGTTGTTAGTTGGCTACTTAGAGAAATCAGTTAAAGCACGGAATCCTACAAAATGATAAATGTAAGCATTTTATTTTAATTTAAACCACATACAAGCACAGTTCACCAGTCCTGTGTGTGGGGCCCAGGCCTCGTCTTTGAGTTCAGATCTGCGGAGTGGAATTCCAGTCTTTTTTGCATAAACCACACTCATATTGTATCGTTTAATATATGGCAGTTCCAGTTGTTTTAAAATGCAGCAGAAGCTTCCAAACAAATGAAATAACCAGCAGACCAAATTTCTTCTTACTTTTTAAAATGTTTTCCAATATGTTACACTTGTCTTGTTAGCCCCTAATCCTACAGCCAATTTTCAAAAGAACTGCTTTTCTTACTCTTTTTCAGAGCAATTCAACTTAGTTTTTGTAGAAACAACTCCCCTTTTAACACCAAGACTGCATCAGTTTACAGAATAAGTAAGTTTGGGAACAAACACAACTGAGTCTTACTAAGAAAATAACTTGACTTGCAGGTGTCAAAGTGCACGAGCATCACTGTGAGAAGCCTACCGGCCACAGTCCCCATACTGGGAATATCAGGAAGTTTTACCAAGCATATGAACAGCATTGGGTTAGCTATCTGATTGGTTATTTAGATGTCAGTTTAAAAGGTCTTTGCCATAATATAATTCCAGTCTCAAGTACAGCTAACTATGAAGAAATTTCAAAATAGTTTCCTTGTCACATGTATATAGCTACCTTTTGTATTTTTCCTCAGTCATATATGATACATACTTTAGAGACAATAAAACCACAGAGTGAAAAAACACACAAGGGTATTAAAATGAAGCAACAGAAAGTGTGTAAGTAGAACAAGCATGATAAAATAAATGAGTCAGTAAAAGACATTTTAAGCAAATTGCAATAGCCCTATATTAATCTGAAAAAACTCATGATCCATCATTAAAATAGCTTGTAAACAGAATAAAAAAGAAGGTTTTGTGTTCATTTTCTAATCATAAGGGGAGGGGAAGGTGATGTGGGAACTTACTTATTTCACTGGAAACCTGGTTCAGTTTATCCTGCGACCTGCTGATGAGGACAATCTTCATTCCACACTTTGCTAACTGAGACAGGAAAAGAGACACCAAACAATTAAATCATACCTGGGCATTTCATTTGGGAATAGTAATTATATATACTCTCATTATAAGAAAACCTGACCATATGATAATCCAAATTAAAAAAATAAAATAAAATAAACCCCATGAGTGTAATGAATGGACACTCCAAAATGAAGCCTTTACAAGAAGATTCCCTGAAGGGTTAACTTTATAAATCAAGCTCGTATATAAATGTCAGAGGATTTTCGAAGAAATAAGACTGTTACTTTTCATTTTGTATCTTTCTATACAGTTTGAGTTTTTTTAAATCATAATTATCACTTCTATAATTTAAAAATTAATTTAAAAGGTTTTTATTCAGACTGTATACATAAAAACTGGAGGAATGGCAAAGAGAACTATAGTTAAGATGTTAGGAACTCCTAAGAACAGAATCAATTTTAAAATTTTTAGTTAAGCATTATACTTTGTGGACAACAAAGATAGTTAATTGGGTAAATTAATGAAGAATTTCCTGAGGAGCATCTTCGATGTACCTACCTAGCACTGTATAAGTGCTGCATAGAATGAATTAAGATTTGCAGGAATGTGATTTCTACTCCAGAGATATATAAATATAGGGGCAAAGGAAAACACTAATATACACAAAACTTTTTAGTGAACTATTCCAGACAGTATATAGACGAGCGATAAATTAGCTGCTATGAACTATTGGTAATGTACTAAACTAATATTCCAGTCTTAAATCCTAAAGTTGGTTTTTATTAAGTAAAAAGTGGTATTGCACATGAGAAGATATATAACTTTTATTTATTTATTTCTTAGAGAGAGAGAGAGAGAGAGGGAGGGAAGGAGAAAGAGAGGGAGAGAACACCTGTGTGCGAGAGAAACATCAACCAGTTGCGTCTTGCATGTCCCCAACTGGGAACCTGGCCGGCAACCCAGGCATGTGCCCTGACCAGAATTGAACCAGGAACCTTTTGATTTCTGGAATGATGCCCAACCCACTGAGCCACACCAGTCAGAGATAGAATTTTTTTTTAAAATAATAATAACAAAGGTTGGTAATAATTTGTTAAGGTACTCTGCTGTAAAATCAGTAAAGAACCTACGAGATTAAGCTGATAGGTTGTTTTTTTATAACAGAGGAGGAAGGATAAAGAAAAGCTTTTATTTAAAGAAAAAAAGCATCTAATCAGTGTAGAAGGAAAGATATCATAAGAAAATCACCATTTTAAGCCATCATGGCAATAACTAATTTAGGCAAAAATTATCAATGGACGCTAGAATCATTGGGTGAAAAATTATTGGTAAATGGTATATTCACAGTCTCAAAGTACCACCCCACATATTCCTTATTAATTACAAAGGGGAAGAGATACTTTTATAATGAAGAATCATGGTGGGCAGCATTTTCATAAATGACTTATCTTAACATAGTCAATAATGAAACAAGTGTACTTCTTGTCCCTCATGATAAGATAAAGCCAGGATACAAGAGCATCCATTTAACCTGGATCTAATCATAAGGAAATAATCAGACAAATCCAAACTGAGAAACCTTTTACAAAACAACTAACCTGGATTTTTCAAAAATGCAGCTGTTATACACACACATACACAAAGGCCAGGGAACTCTTCCAGTCAAGAGACACATCACCGATAGCAATATATTAATTTTAACTGGATGTGGAACCACATCTAAAAGAGCTATGAGAAAGCTTCTGGGGACAACTGGAAAATCTGCATATTGGCTGCATATTATATAAATAATATTGCATCAAGTTAAACTTTCTAGGTATGATCACAGTGTTATAATTATAAGGGTGAACATCCTGGGTGTTAGAAGATCTGGGCTAAAATATTTAGGAACTGTTATGGTGTCTATAATTTATAAACAGTCCAACTAAATTATCATTATGATAAAGTTAAACGTGGCAAATGTTAGTAACAGGTGAGTCCTGGTGAGAGGTATATGGGTGTTCATTATATTCTTGCAACTTTTCTGTAGTTTTGATATTCAAAATAGACAACGGGGAAAACAAAGGAGAATTTTTTTTTTAAAGAAATCTGTGGGAATGTCAAATGGGAGATTCAGCAGATCTTCATCATAACTGGGCAACATCATAGGCTGCGGGTGCCTTCGTGGAACTGCGAGGCAGGGCAGCGTGCCTGGGCAGCACTGCCAAGGTCCCTTCTTCGTATGATGGTCTTCATACTAGTATGGTTTCCTATACTATCATCACATTACCAATAACTTGAATCCTTTGTCTGCGTCTGCCAATACCTTTCTGTCAATCACAGCCCTTCTTGTGAAAACGATCCCCTAAACTAGCCTGGAAATATAACCTATATGATAATATATCCACGTTTTGGAAAACAGTTCAAAACTGAGGTCTGCCCAAAACATGCCAAAGAAGGGGAACCAAACCACCTTCTTACATAATATACTCCAAATACAGCATATGTACCATAAACTCAAAATAGATTAAAGACTTAAATGTAAGACTCAAAAAAATAAAACTGTTAGAAGGAAACATAGGCAGTAAACTCTGACAATTCTCTTAGTAATACTTCTGATAAATCTACTCAGGCAAGGGAAACATAGGAAAAAATAAACAAATGGGGCTACATCAAACTAAAAAGTTCTTACATCAACAAAACAAAAGACGACATACTGAATGGGAGAAGATATTGGTCAGTGATACATCCGGTAAGAGGTTAATACCTAAATTTATAAAGAACTCATATAACTCAAATGCAAAAAAAAAAAAAAAAAAAATCCAATTAAAATACGGACAGAAAACCTGAACAGACACTTCTCCAAAGAGAGCACACAAATGGACACTAAACATGAAAAGATGTTCAACATCACCAATCATCAGAGAGACGTAAATTAAAACCACAATGGGATACCACCTCACACCTGTCAGAATGGCCAAAATCATTATATCAACAAACAAGTGCTGGCGAGGGTGTGGAGAAAAGAACCCTCATACACTGTGGGTGGGAATGCAGACTGGTGCAGCCACCGTGGAAAGCAGTGTGGAGTTACCTCAAATACTAAAAATAGAACTACCATATGATCCAGCAAGTCCATTGCTGGGTATGTATCTGAAAAATCCAAAACACTAATTCAAAAGATATATATGTGCATTACAGTGTAATATTTACAACAGCCAAGATACGGAAGCAATCCAAGTGCCCGATACACCAGTGGATAAACAAAAGTGGAAATATTCATATATACAATGAAATAGTACTTGGGCGTAAAAGAAGAATGAAATCTTACTGTTCACAATAACTTGGATGGACCTGGTGGGTGTTATGCTACGTAAAATAAGTCTGACAGAGAACAACAGATAACATATGACTTTACTTACTGTGCAACCTAAAATCCAAAATAAATGAACAAAACAGAACACACTCACAGATAACAGAGAACAAACTGAGGTGCCAGATGGGAGGGGGGTTAGGGGCTGGGTAAAAAAGTTGAAGGAATTAAGAAGTATAAATGGGTAATTACAAAATAGTCACAGGGATATAAACTGCAACAAAGGGAATATGTCAATAATATTGTATTAACTGTGCATGGTGTTTCAGGTAGGTATTGGAATTATCAGAAAAATCACTTTGCAAATTATATAATTATACACCTGAAACTAGTATAAAATAATTTTAAATGTCAACTGTAATTGAAAACTGAAATAAAAAAATAGAAACCAAGGACTGCTTATACTTAAACAATATAAAATAAAGTTATACTAAAATTTTACGATTCCAACTTACCAGGGTAGAAAGTTTTATACTCATTTTGTATTAAAGAAAGGTCTTGAAAATGACCTACCTCTTCTGCATATGATTTTCCAATTCCATCAGTACTACCTGTGACAACTGAGAAAGAGAAAAAGTAAGTTTAGTTTAAAAATTAAAATAAAGAACTGATCATACATAGTTAGGACCCAACAATTAGGCACACAAGGACCTGTGTGATACTTCAATGTAAATTTGAACCACTTGGAAAAATACCAGCGCTTCAAATTTAAACCTAAAGCCTACCACATCGGCTAAAATTAAACAGACTGCAATACCAAGTGATGCCAAGGAAATGAAGCAACTGGAACTCTCAAACACTGCTGGTGGCACTGTACTTCCAAAGTGCAATCATTCTGGAAAAACTATTTGGCATTATGTCCAGAATTAAACGTAGATCTACCCTATGACCCAGCAATTCCCAAGAGGTAAGAATGGCCATGGTAGCTTTATTCATGCATAGTGGGTAAACCTGTCTGACTGTTAAGCTACAGGAGAGTAAGTATTGATAAACTGAAATATATTCATACAATGGAATATTAAGTAGCAATAAAAAGAACTACTGATATATGCAAAACATGTACAAATCTCACAGACATTATGTTGACTGAAAAAAGCCTGACATAACAGTGTACAACCTGTTATGATTCCATTTATATAAGTCAAAAAAACAAAGGCAAAACTAATCTGTGATGATAGACCTCAGAATAATGGTTACCTCTGGGTAAGGGGTAGAGGACAGAAAAAGGGCATTAAGAGAAGTTTCAGGGTACAGGAAATATTTTCTGTCTTGATTTGTGTGTGTGTGTGTGTGTGTGTGTGTGTGTATACACAAAAATTCATTGAGTTGTATACACTTAAGTATGCACTATATGTTATACTTCAATAAACTAATTTTTAAAAATTATAGTTAAAAAATTGAATAACATCTACTCCTTCTGTGGAAAAGCATATTCCTCTTAAAAGCTCAAACCATGTAGGCAGCAGAAACACTTGATAATCATAATGGGTCAGGCTACACCATAGTACCTTATCTCTGAAATACTGAAATCATGTTTGTTACAAATTCAGAGCCCAGCTCTCTGCCCCAAAAGGTTAGGGATCCTCCCCAAAGTCCTCTATGAGTTTTTCCAAGCCATTTACACATTATGGATGAGTCATGGTGTAAAGTAGGATATTCTTCTATTTGTCTTAAAACTACTATCTATCCCATCTACCTATATATATTTATTATCTATTTAACATCCATGTCTCACTCTGCCCCCACACGCTCCTTTTTCACCCTCCCTTTGTCCTCTCCTTATCTGTTGAAGATATTGGATCATATGTTTATAGTTTCCTAACCTAGCATTTGCTGACTGCATTCCTCTGATGTCATTTAACAAGTCTTCCTGTCCCCTAGTGGCTGGCTACAGATGCTTGATCAAATTTAGGTTTGATTTTGGATAAGAATTCTTTATACGTAATATTGCATATCTGCACCAGGAAACATATTTCCAGTTATCTTTCTTTTGCTTTACCAGCAGTCATTGATGGCATATTATTTCATTAGATATTGCAAAATGGTGATATTTAATATTTAAATTCTATCATTCCATCCTCACTTATTAGCTGGAATATTTCCATGGAGAAATGACTCATTATTAGTTATTTGGTAATAATGATACAGAGTTTATATGGGAACACAAGATAAATGTTTGGGTTTTTTCTCTTGTTTACCAGTTTTCAAAAGAAATTGGTCCCCTAGCATCTTCCAAAGGTAATCCATGTGTTTTTATCATCATGGTTTTATTTAGAAGACACATTATTAATTTATGGATTTAAACATTTATGGTAGAGCCCATACAAAATTAAGCATTATATGAAAGTTCCTCCAACCTCATGATTAATTCAGTTGCACACTTCTGTAACTTTACATCTCCTGAGTATTTTGTAGGAGGCAAGGAGTACAGAGGGACCCAAATTTTATACTCCACTCCTGTTACTGATTCACTAATATTTCACACATGAAGGATAAACATTTTCTAATGTTTCCAACTGTCTCCTTTTCCTTCCATCTGTGACAAACGTTTTGCTCTCTCCAAGATCCCCAGAACCTCACCTCCTCTCCTCTTCCTTCAAAGCCTGTTCAAGGGCCACCAACTCCACTCTCCCAAATCGCCTCAAACGAACGAAAACCTCTCTCTCCTCTCAACTCCCAGAGCTCCTTCCATGGACTTCTCTGCTGGCACTTACAATTCTCTACTTTGAATTGCGTTTCCTTATGTGTATATATCTTAATTCTTCTTCCAGGCTCCTTGTTATGTGACATGCACAGCGTAGGTGCTCAGGAGACTTTTGCTGAATGCATGAACAATGCTCAGCACTTAGTGTTACAAACTACTAAACACATAATGCTTAGACTGTTTCTCTGGGAACCTCGTTTCTCAAAGTTCTTCACTTTACAACCACAGTAATTTACGCTCTCCTAAACTACCGGCCACTCATCTATCTGTTAACAGAGCCTTTCGTACCTAGATTATTTTACTCATTCTCTACAACGGTGGAGCAAGCAAATCCTGTATGAATACAGCAGTGAATTGATGGCAGTATCAGACTTCTCAGATTAGGGTCTTAAAAATCCCTTACTAAGGAAATGCTCAAGAATTAAACCTCAAAAAAAAAGTCACTCCATATAATATATCCAGAATTTTTGGCTAGAATATACATATTTCAAAAGAATACAGATAACTCGAGTGTGTGTGTGTGTATATGTCTATTCTCAAAGCCACATGGCAGGTAGTATGTTTGCAATAATATACAAACATAACCAAGTCAGTTGCTAGACTTCAGGTAATTATAAAAGTGTATTAAGACATATAGAATGAGAATAAGGATTGTCCAGCTTTTGCTTTTAAAAATATATCCTTTATTTAAAACTACGTATCTGCCAACAATAATAGCGGAGATAGCTTATTGTTGGACAAAAAATCCTTTAAGGTCAATAACTTTTCATTTTTATAATACACTAGTGTAATTCACACTATTAAGATGATACCATATTGCCTGTGGAGTCAACCTTTCATTATTAATTTTAGGAATCTAACCAAATCGCACCATATTAAATCAAGAGTCTTTTGTGGTTGCGTTTGGGGTGCTGGGGAAAGACAGAAAAGTGATTACTAGTTTTTATTCTTCTTACTGTTAACCATGTGCATGTACCGCCTTTCTGAAAAAGTCTTTTCCTTCTTTTGAAGAACCCTTCATCTATTCCGGTTTCCCAAAAATCAGTGTAGCATTGCTTAAACCAGCATTTCTCTAGTCACTTACTATTTTCTTAAAAAATGATTTTTAAAATAAAATTTAATAGGTAACAATGATTTGATTACTACTGACTTATCCGATTATTATAAAAGGCTGCCAGTTTCAATTAATGTAAGTAGAGTCTTAGTGTAAAATATGTGTATATATAACTATTATATTTTAAAAACATTCATCAATGCAGTACCTAAGATCATCTCTTAGTTTGTATGTTGGGAAACAATGATCTAATCATGATCACCCTAATATACCTACAACCTTGCAATGAAAACCTAATGAAACAAAGACCAGCTCCCAAATCACCCAAATTAGAAGCAGTGCCTGTTGGAGTTGTGTGTGTGTGTGTGTGTGTGATTTCTTAAAATGAAAAAACTAAGCACTCACAGCTACACTGATAAAAAATGAAATGTCCAAAACAACCCAAAGGACAATCCTTTGTGTGTTACATGTACATCTGTGCTAGAGCCCACTGTCTTCCGAAACATCCCTTCTTCCCTCCCTTCTTTGCAGCAATCTTGGCCTGGAATACAGACTCTTTTCCAGCCTCCCCTAGCAGCGAGGTATGGCCATCTGATTAAATTCTAGAACCAATGTGCAAGCAGTGTTGTGAGGGACTTTGAGCTTAAAGGAAGCGGACTCAGGTGGGAGAGGCCCTTTTTTTCTCTTTATCTAGCCAATTCAAACGCGATGGCTATAGTTTAGCAGTCTTGAACAATGAAGTAACCTGAGGGTAAAAGCCTTGGGCTAAGATGAAAGAACACACTCACAGGAATCAAGGTTCCTGATGACTCTGTGGAATTACTATGCCACTTTTTAAAAACTAATCATTTTGGTTTTCACTGCTTACCATGGAGAATCAGATATATACAAAAATTCTAGTCCTCTTTAAATTATGTGAAAAATAAACTTCTGTATAGTTAAAGTCACTATTATAGAGTCAGAAAAGCAAGAGAAAGCTGTCAATAAATTATTAAAACAAAATATTTAGTATTCACATCGTTATAAGAATATTTGTCCAAGGTATTTCACTGTTATTAACCAGCTCATTATCACAACACCCCAGTCAAAGCTTCCAACATCCAGGGGCCTGCGCAGTGAATCTTTCAGTTTGTCCTCACTTAATTCATGCTATACACAGTTAAGAACTGTCCTACTGGAACACCATTTTTATGATCTCAGTCTCATCAAGAAGTGACAATGTTTCCCTACGGCCAATTATATAAAACCTAAAACTTCTCACCACTCAATTCTCCCCATTGCCAGCGCCTGGGGCTGCCACCCTTCCTCTCCCATGAAACCCACTGCAACCGCCTTCTACCTCATTCACCTGTTCCCATTCTTATTCCTCTCCGACTCATTCTCCACACTCAGCCAAAGTGACCACTCCGAAGGGAAAATATGGCATCACCTCCCTGCCTAAAACCTGTCAATGGCCTCCCACTGCCCTTATTCTTTACAAGGCCTCCCACGAGCTGACCTTTACTCCCATCATTTTCCTCCAACCTCTCAATGCCCTGGTCATGCTGACATTTTTCCAGTTCCTCTGAGATATAATATGCTCTCTCTTTACAAATGCTGTTTCCTCCACTCCCAATTCCACGCCAACCAGTGTCTCTCCCAATCTTGAGGTCTTCAGTTGAATTTCTCCTCTCCCATTAAGCCTTTCTTAACCTCTAGACTAATAGGATCTCAAAACTCTCTGTCCCCAGTGTACTTTGTACTCCCTCTTAATTGCATTCATCATATAGGTTTCCATAAGGGTCTGAGTCACCGCTGTCAGC